GAGGTGTCACCCTCGTATAGATCTATACACAAACTCTCACTCTCTCTCTGGGAGACTCTTGTTATAACTACATGCTACGTTTGTACACTCATTTGGTGTCAAACGAAACGTCTCACTAGATCTTTAATCAAATTTACGCGAATAAACATGAAAGTTATATTCCAGTCTCAATAAACTTGTAAGTGGACAGCCAAGGCCCACTAAGCATGTAAATTATATTCAAGGCTCAATAAGCATATAAGGTATATTCCATGCCCAATAAACATGTAAGTGGACAACTAAGGCCCACTAAGCATGTAAATTATTTTCTAGACCCAATAAAAGTATAAATGATGTAATTGATCCGTGAGTTTTTACGTTGGTTGTTTAAGCTTCGTAGTTTACCAAAATGACATAAAAGGCCCGATTTTTGTAAAAAGACATTTTTGGTTCTAAAACCGAAAATTTACAATTAAGGCGCATTTTTGGTAAAAATGACACTTTAGGTCCTTTAAGGCCAAAGGTTTGCGTTTAAAACTAAGTAAAAATAATATTTTTAACTCACTTTTGTCAAAAATATTATTGTTGGATTATTTTTTATGAAAAAGTTCACTCATGGCCTATTTATAAATCAATTTATCTTTTTGGCCCAAGATTTAATAAATCTACATGTTCAGTCCTTCTTATCGAAAATTTACTTTTTTGGCACAACTTTGTTTAAAGTGACACTTAAGCCCACTAAAAGTCCAAAAATTTGCAATTTTGGCCTAAATGTCGTGAAAGACCAATTGAGGCCCATTTGTGAAAATTTACACTTTTAGCCCTTTTAAATCACAAATACCATAAAGATTCATGTTTATCAAAAATAATTCATTTTTTTTACCAAATGGCCAATGGCCTAGCGGTATGGAGTGACCATCTCATATGAGAGATTTGGGGTTCAAGTCTCGGCGGAGACGTAGGTGGTTATTTAGGAGTAGATTAGTTAGTTTGTCGTTTCAAAAAAAATAGCCACACTTTGATTTTTTGTCATTTTTTGCCCTCTCGTGCAATTTTCTTAGTTTTAAACTGCTTTGATGTGTTTTAAACCTTCTATTTGCGTAATAAGTTGTAATAGATGTTATGTTCGACAAATAGCATCATATGTTAGTATATTTTCAAGTTTATGAAGTCTATAACACACAATCACACTTATGTCATGAAAAACACACAAAATCATGCGTCTACACACAGATCTACACAAAACTATTTGTATTCTACCCCAAAACATAGTAAAAATCAAAAATAGGGGGTATGAACTCACATTGGTTTGAAGATTTAGGTGTTTGATGAAGAATGACGAGGATCTCGGCCCTAGAAGCTTCTTTAGTGGAGTTTTTCGAACTTAAGATGGATCTAAGGGCATGGATCACGAAATGATGTGTTAAAGACTGGAGATTATCATAAAATGAAGTTAATCATCATGCTTAAAGAGTAGCTTTGAGGGATGCAGATGGGAGATCCTTGAAGAAAACCTTAGAGTTTTATAGTGTTGGAAGTTTGAATGGAGGGTGGTGAGTGAAGAGGGGCTTTGACCGAGAATAAGAAAGAGAGGATGAGAAGAGAGAAGTTGAGAAAAGATGGTTGCATTAAAACATGAGATTAGCATAGATATTTGATGTGTAATTGCTTGGTTAACCTCTAGACATTAGTGAGGTGGCTCTCCTAATTATCCCATTGTTTTTTTTTTGTATAGCCGAGAATGAGGGGGAAGGAAAAGAGAAGGAAAAGTTTGGACCTTTTCTTGATTAGGCTCGAAAATATGAAGTCCAAATTGAATGTTTTCGGCCCATTGGGCCCATAGGAGGGTTTACGGCCCAATAGTGATAAGGAAAATGAGTTTACGGCCCATTAGGGTTCAAGAAGTCATTAAGGACCATGCCAACAAAATGAGACATATTAGGCTCAATAAGGCCCATGAGAAGTCTTATGGCCCAAAATGCTATTTAATAAATGCGGGTCCAATCAGGGACCAATTGAAGACTCTTGGTTTAAAAGAATCAAGTTGAGGGTTTATGGGTCCATTAGGCCAAATAAATGATTCCTAGTCCATTAAAATGTTTGAACAGGGATATTAGGGTTTCAAACCCATAGTTAAGTATATGAGATGCATTGTTTTAGGTTTTCAACTTCACTCAGGAGTTTTGACTCAAATGGTTGATTTTGAATGAGCACAATACATGACATCAATTTAGATTACAAACTATACAAGAGTTGATTTTTATATGAAGACAGAATTTCCTAGCTAAAAATGCTAGTTGTGACATATTTGGCGAATATGCTTTTCCAATTCATTTATGCCTATGAATAATGAGCTCACACTAACAACATAATTCACAAGACTGTCTACAGTGATCAAGTGCTATCACCTACTCTATGGGGTGACCACGCATACCGCTAATAGTTGCCTGTTTGGGACCCATCATTTCTGGTCATCCCATATGGAGCTACCGTACATCGACAGCTGATAGTGTCATGGAACAAAACTTTACTCTCCATTCCTAGGTTACGTACATTATCATAATGAGACTATCTAATATCAAGCTTAATTGAGCTAGGTATCTTCCATGACTCCAAGTTTATCCCTACACTAGATTATAGTGCATGTAACCAACTTTTAGTGCCAACTCTATTCTTGCGTGACACTCACCTATTTCTAGTGTATTTATATTCCCTACAGAGAATTAGGTATTATTATTTGAAGGTTTGTATCAATCGGATACACTTCAAGTATAATTAACAAAGAACAAATAACTAAACAAAGATTGAATAGAAAAATAAAGAACACGATTAATCACAAGGATGTCTTTCACCATGAAAGCGGTGTTCTCACCAAGAGAACGAAGGTCACAAAGACGTTCACCAAGAATTACATAACAAACATCCCATTAATTAAGGGATGTATACCTATTCTAAGTAAAGATCTAATCTTTATCACACCGATTAAGGATCATATATCTATTTTATACATATCCGCATAACTTCCTAATATACAAATATTACATAAGATCATTATCTTCACGCTGACGCTAATAAGGTCTTGAGGTACTGGCCATGGTGCTGATGTGGTGGTCAGCATATAAAGTGTTTGAATCATCAAATCTTAAGGTGTGATATTATAATATTCCCATATCTGATGATGTCAAAACTAATCTTCAACGAAGTCATCAAGTTCATAATTTGATAATTTCTCAGCTTCAGTCAAGATCTCAGGCTTTAACCACTTGAAGTCATCAAGATGAAGATCAATTAGATGTTTGCTGAGTTCAAAAGAGATTAGAACATGATATTCTCTTTTATATCTCCTTATGTCGCAGACCCTTCAGACGAAGATTGAACAAATTCTTGGTGGGAGCATCAAGCATGTCTTTAGTGCATTGAAAGAATATTTGGTTCTGGCTGTTAACATAGAAAATACCATTTTCTGGTTCCCAGATGAACATGTGTTGAACTGGCTCAACACCTACTTGCAGCTTGTTATTGACATAGTGAGTGCCATATGGAATAATAAACTTAGTTTATGTTGATATTTTGGGCCTGCTAGTTCTTTCGGAAGGGGATGGTTGGGATAGACAAACTGAATGGAAAAGTTATACCCTAATGTTGCACGAGTGGACTTGCATCTTTATTCAGAAGGTATTTCAGAATAGTTTTATGATCAAGGAAGACGAAGAGCAGTTCAAAAAGATTCAGCATCGATAGTAACCCTAGATTGACCATCTCCAATGGTTCCGATAATAGTTTGAGAACTAGAATCAACATAGCAAGAATAATAGAAATCACGTACTTGCTTAGGGTACAGTGCCTCTGGGAAGTCACAGATGACATATCGAAGAAGGTCTCTTTTGACGTAGTTGGTGAAGCCTTCAATTCCTGACTTCATGAACTATTTAGGGACAACGTTAAAAGATGCCATATTGTTTGCTTGAATGATAATGGGAGAATCAAAGGCATGAGGGCTTTTTACGACATTGGTGTTAGGAGCAAGCTCGTATAGAACCTTTGACATGATGAGATCTTGAGAACGATAATGGTCGAGAGAGCCTTTTTCGAGAAAGAAAATCAAGTGATTGAATGAACTGCGAAAGTGAACTAGGATAGAATTTTTCCAATTTATTCATAAATTTGCTTCCCTTTTAGGTAATCATGATTGAAGTGATTGGCACCGTAAAAACCTAGCACTACTAGAAAACAGACCTTTAATGACGCGCTTTTTATGACACACACTGATTAATGATATGCAAAAGGACGTGCCCTTAAAATAGTGTTATCTCTCCAAAAAATTTAAGGATTTACGTCACGCATTATTGCGTGCCCTTAATTTAGTGTCTCAAGAAAAAAAGAAAAAAACACGGAGGGCACTTTATCTTAAACGCACGTCATCTGTACCTGTCACTTTATAATTTTAATGAAACGCGCTTTTAGTAGACAAGGGGGGAAACGAAATCCCCAAAATTTTGAAAACCTACCTCGTTTTTTTCTATCTTCTATCTATCTTTCATCCTTGCAATCCACTCTCCCCTCTCTGATACTCTCTCCTCTAGATCTCCCTTCATTCTCTACCTCCCGTCTCTCTGTAAACCCTAAGCCATCGCCACCTCCCTTCTCTCTAGCACGTGCTAGGGTTTTATTTTCTTTCAAGCTTCCACTTCTCTTGTTTTCTCTCAATCCAGTACGTGCGAGGGTTCAGAATAACTGAGCGAATTCAAACAATCAATCTTCCATTTCAACTTCTTTCAACTCTGTATCATCAGGTATTTTATGACAAGGTGTGGATCATTTGTTTGTTTATCATAGCATTTTACATTTACTCCCATTTTCTAAACTACAAATTAAAAAACTTAATAACTTCTGTTTTGCTTGATTGTGGGCATGCTCAATGATTGAATCAAGTTTACACTGATTCCCTTCTACGTGATACTCACATAAAATGGAATACCTACTGATGTTTGAATATCCTGTTTTTAAAATGGACACGATACATGCAAGAAAGCTTGGAAGGTAACCCTGCTGCTGCCACATTGAAAAATGTTTCAAGGGGTTTTGGTGCTCTTACAGTACCCCTCACTGTAAGTTTCCCAAAGGCTAGTTCACTACTATTTTTTTTAATTACTAAACTACCCCTCCCTCAAATTCAAATACCATTTTCACTTTCATGCAGGCCCTCTTCTGTTATTGGATCACCTCCAACTTGTTCTCCATACTATATGGATTAAGTAAGTAGATAGAAGTTATTAACCGACTTAGATCATGTTGTTTAAATTAACATCTGATTTTTTATGCCATTCTTGTTTCAGTAATAAAGAAACCCTGATTGAAGAAGTTTCTCAACATACCCATAATCATACCTCCACCACCATCTCCTGTTAGTCAATCAAAGCCAACTTTCTCCTTCTTTGAGGGTTTGAAAAAGTATGCTGCTGCTTAAGCAATACAATGTCATTTAATCATATGATAATTTTCATTGCTCAAGCAATGCAATGTCATTCAATTATGTGTTTACTTTATGCTTCTTCTTCTCTAAT